AAAATGGATATCAACAGTTAGAATGGCTTATTTAATTCCCTCAATCACTTCACAACATGAAAATCAACAGTTAGAATGGTCTATTTAATTCCCTCAATCACTTCACAACATGAAAATCAACAGTTAGAATGGTCTATTTAATTCCCTCAATCACTTCACAACATGGTAGTCAACAGTTAGAATGGTCTACTTAACTCTATCAACCACTTCACAACAAATTGGAAGTCAACATTTAAAATGGCTTACTTATTTTCCTCAATCACTTCACAACATCATGGAATTCAAGAACTGAACCACTTAATTTCCTCATTCACCTTACAACATGGAAATCAACAGTTATAATGGTAATAAGGGTCTTCTTAATTCACCTTATAACATTTAACTCAACAGAACTTTGCATTCAGAATGGTGTGTTCAATTCCCTCAATCATCCTACAACAGGGAAGTCGACAGTATTCATTTCATCAACAAAACTCAGTCACAGTGGGCTGACCATTTCTTGTAATTACATAAAAACAATGAGATACTGATCTATAAACTTACAGTCACATTAGCCTGCCTGATTGCTTCATTTAACTCTAGGGTTTCTTGAGCAACATCTTCAGCATCACGACTATGGTTTCTCAACTCTTCTAGCAGCTCATTTAACTTATTCAGTTGTTCATCCAACTCCTCAGCTCGCTCCTTGTTCAGAATAGCAGGTTTCTGGAAGTTCTTGACATGTTCCAACACTAAATGTACAGATGATTACTAGTATATTTTTTTCTACCTATAGTTAACCATTAATAAACTGAAAATATTCTGTAAATACATGTCTATCATGCTTGGAGATGATTTGAATGGATAATGAAGAAAAACTTTGTCAAAACATTGTACATTTGCTGTTATGTTAAACTTATATTAAAGTTTTTCTTCATTACCCATTCAAGCCATCTCCAAGCATTATTAGTCTTAAAGTGGGTACCTCGTCATCGAACATGTCTATCATATTTCAACCTAAAATGATGTATAAAACAAGTAATGTTATAATTAAATTTTTTAATTCGGTATTTTATTTTTTGTATATTAGGATAAACTGCCACTATACAAAAGTTTCTAAATCCATGCTGCTATATAAAAATTGTAAAATTCAAAGAAACCTACACTCCTCGGCAAGTTCTAGTTCATCTTCAGTATCATTTTTCCGTGACATAAAGTCTCGATCTTTGATCTCTTGGAGGATTCTCTCAGCCCTTGCAATTAATTTGTCAAGGTTAGGCCCTGCTGTATCTAACAGTCCTTCAGCTAATGCTGTTAATTCACCAACAGTATCTGGAATGATAAGAATGCTTGTGTCAGAAAATATAATAAAAAATGAGTTAGAAGTTATTCAGGAACAGTCTTTAGCATATTTGTATGAGAATAACATATTACAGAATGATCTTATGATAACTGTCTCTGAAAACTATAATAAATTACTTATAACAGCCAAGACTCAAATACAATAAAATACCTTACAGTAATCATGTCTGATTGTATTTCAAAAATTTATGCTTATGATAACAGTATCCTGGAATGGGATACTTGTCATAAAACAAACTAGGTGTTTAAGAACATTATTTATTAAACATGTGAGATAACATTTCACAAGCTCTGTGTTACACAGATGTGACAAAAGGATTTATAACATTTTTTATATGAAACTATAGCAAAAGTGACAACTTTAGAAGAAAAAAATGCAATCTAATATCACTTACAATATTTTTTTGCAAGTGTAACATTTCCTCGAGGTTTCACATTAAACAAAAGTCTTTTCTGAGGATCCAGTTCAACCAATAAATATGGTGAATTAAGTAAATCTTACTATACAATTATTATTATGTTAGAGTGTGTGTGTGCCTGTGTTATCATTCCTCATGCACAGTTGGATGGCTCAATTACCATGATTTCTGGCATGGTAACTGGAAACTGTCCAATGGTGTGTAAGACCTATTTCATTTTATGATTTTTACTTACGAAGGGGATGAAAAAAGCCCTTGAAATAGGGCACATTTTCCCCTTTTTTATAGACTTTTGGCTTCAAATTTAAAGTTTTAAAACCAGAGCTATAAAAAGTTTGAATCATCCATAAACTGACCTCTTGCTTTTTTAACAGCATCTTGAATAAGTTTTTCTACTTCCAGAGCTTCTTCTCTCGTCTTGTCTGCATTCATACTCACTTCTTCAGCTTCTTTCACTCCTTTGTCAGCCTGTGTAACAATGAACAAATAGGAAAAAACTAGCTTACTGACCAGCAGGAAAACCAAAAACTAGCAATAATGTAATAAACAAGATCTTAAATGTGGATAAAACAACACTTTATAGTAGAGGGTAGGATGTAAATCAGGTAATAAACAAGATCTTAAATGTGGATAAAACAACACTTTATAGTAGAGGGTAGGATGTAAATCAGGTAATAAACAAGATCCTTTTATCCATATTTACAACACTTTAAAGTAGAGGGTAGAATGTAAATCAGGTAATAAACAAGATCCTAAATATGGATAAAACAACACTTTACAGTAGAGGGTAGAATGTAAATCAGGTAATAAACAAGATCCTAAATATGGATAAAACAACACTTTATAGTAGAGGGAAGGATGTAAATCAGGTAATAAACAAGATCCTAAATATGGATAAAACAACACTTTATAGTAGAGGGTAGAATGTAAATCAGGTAATAAACAAGATCCTAGATATGGATAAAACAACACTTTACAGTAGAGGGTAGGATGTAAATCAGGTAATAAACAAGATCCTAAATACGGATAAAACAACACTTTACAGTAGAGGGTAGGATGTAAATCAGGTAATAAACAAGATACAATAAATATCGATAAAACAACACTTTACAGTAGAGGGTAGAATGTGAACAAAACAATCAGGTAATAAACAAGATCTTAAATATGGATAAAACAACACTTTACAGTAGAGGGTAGAATGTGAACAAAACAATCAGGTAATAAACAAGATCTTAAATATGGATAAAACAACACTTTATAGTAGAGGGTAGAATGTGAACAAAACAATGAGGTAATAAACAAGATCATATATATGGATGAAACAATTGTGTCAAATGTGAATGAAACAATGAGATAATAAACAAGATCTTAGAAGTATAGTAAAATAACTTAGCATTATATAGAAATATAATAACCCAAAAATTCCATATTAAACTAGAACCTAAACAGTATTCAAATAACTTACTACACCAACCTAATGATGACATAATTATACAGATTCAAAAATACTCGAAAAGTAACAATTGAAAAAAAAAGATATTTGAATTATAAATAATTTGCAATCAGGTTATACAGAGACTAAGTGTATTATATTAAAACGATTTTGGAGCCTGTATGTCTTTGTATAGCATAGCATGAATACCCAATTCATTCTTCTTGATTATGTTATGTACTGTTGCCTGGGGTGTATGGGCAGCTTTTGCCACTGACTTTTACATTTTTGAACTCTTAACTGTTACAAGATGTTGAACTTTGCTTATCACAGCTGGGGTGTGACTTGTTGCAGTCTCTTTCTCAAGGGTCGTGGCACCCCAAGTTGATCATATTTCTCTGTTTCTAATGCCATTAAGTACAGACCTTTACAGTTGGAGTTTTGTACCAGAAAGGGCTGTTACATGCAAAAATAACCAGTTTTTTAAAGGTATGACATTACCTAAAAAAAGTCAAACAATGTCAAATATATTTCTAATACACGTGGTTCCACTGTGGCTTTCTATTGGCTGTGGTTGTAATGTGACTTACTGACTTGCATATTAAAATAATCTTCTGTATACATAAACTCCAATCTAAAGTAAAAGCTGAAAAACATTTTAATGTACTGGTAAAAAATGAGCCTTACAATATGGTAATAAAAACATATATATACAAGATAAAAACAGCTTAAAATAAGTGTAAAAACAGTAATTAAACAATAAATAAGCACACGAGTAATATATTAATGTATTAAATAGTTCATAAATTAAAACACTTATAAAGTTAGTGATACAACAAATTCACAGAGAAATGAAATAAAAAGTTAAAAAATATAACAAGCTAGAGTTAAAAACAAAGGATGAGCACTCAATTTACACAGGAGCAAAATATTATCTGAACAACAACTTATCACAAGATTAAAAGGTGAAGTAAAAACTGGTATAATGAACTTAAGTTTACTTGAAATTTAAAACATGATATATGAGTAAAACTTAAAATATATTACCAAATAATAACAATAATGTAATTCAATAAGTAATTTCATATGGGATGGTTTAACAAAACCCCCAACGTAGTGATAAAACCACTATATTAAATAAATAAAACAGCATTCTTGTAAGTATCTTGGAACACCCAAGTCAAATCAAGCATATGAATGTTAGATAATACAAAATATTAAATAAATAAAACAGTATTCTTGTCTTGGGTGTTCCAAGATACTTTTAAATCAAACATATGAATGTTAGATAATACAAAATATTAAATAAATAAAACCAATTCTTGCAAGTATCTTGGAACACCCAAGTCAAATCAAGCATATGAATGTTTTTTATTCATTTAATTAACAAAACTGAAAATGAGAAAGTACATTTTTTGAAGGGTGGAATTCCCTGAAACCAGTATAGATCGGTGACAAATGAATGGGTTTGATATATATTTTTTGATGCTTGTTTGTTTGTTTGTTTCTATGAAAATAATATTGTTATGAATGTCTGACTTGTGAACATTTTGGCTTTATTCCTAAAAATCTAAATACTCACACTGTTGTTAAGCTGGTGAGCTTGATCCTCAACGGACCTAACGTTGTAGTGTAACGGACTCAAGTCAACAGCCGTAGGATCAAAGATAAGAGCATTCACCTCTGGCTGCAATGTTATAAGAACTGGTATAGAACTTTTTCTTCAAGAAATAACAGAATGACATGTTAACCATTTCAGACTTTATGAAAAACAATATGTGCCAGAAATTCAGCAACAGAAGAGGTTTTCTAACAACATAAATAAGAACTAAACCTACGTAAGAAAAACAAAACAGTAACTAGAAGATATAGTTTTGTTGTATCTTTAGAGTTACAACAATTTAATGCACATATATATATATATATATATATACATACATACTTTCAAATAATCTCCACTAAATTGTTTTACATTTTTGCTCTGGTGCTCGTCAGTTAATTAGTAGGAAAATTTCAAACACATTTGTTTAAGAAATTTTTTTTTTTTTTAAATTGAGAAATATTAACACTGTTTTAATGGTGTATTCAGTTTTTAAATAAATAAAGTGGTTTTGTCTTGAAATTATTGTCAAGAATGATCAAGAATATGCTGGTTGTTAATTCAAAATTAAATTTCATCTAGCGAAGAAAGAAATTCTACTTCTTAAACATAAGGTAAGTATTATAACTGCAAGGTGACATTGTAATTTGATTATACCTATGTGGGATTAAAACATTTATAAACTAGCAAAGAAAGAAATTCTACTTCTTAAACATAAGGTAAGCATTATAACTGCAAGGCGACATTGTAATTTGATTATACCTATGTGGGATTAAAACATTTATAAACTTATACACGTTTATCTGGAAATATCATGTGGTTATAACTAAAATCTCTTTCTTATAACTTCAAAATGTTTAAGCAACACAACCCTCTTGTCTTATCAAAGTTTCACCAAAACTCATTGCATAAATTCTACTAAGCTGGAAAATAGTGAAATTATGAAACAGTGGAAAGTCACGAGAGAAATAAACTGAAAAAAATAATTTTAACGATTTCTTTCATAAAAATTAATTTCTCTAGGATGATTGAAAATACACTGGTTTTTAATCTTGTCAAATCAAGAGAAGTATTTATCTAGAATATTGAAAAATTCTACTGCTCAGAGATAGAAGCCGTTATAATAATAATTCTCTGTACCATTTTAGAGCTGTGTGTGTAATGAACAATGCTTCAGAGGTTTTACACTCACATAAATTGCACAAGATTTGAGCTCTCATCATGATATTGGCCAATATTTTCTTAGCAGGCAAGATGTGTGTCTTTATTAAGTGGTAGACTTTGTAACCAGTATATAAAAACAGTAAAAAATCAAAGGCTGAAGTTTGAATTACAAAATGGGTTTGTTTGTTTAGAATTTTGCTCAAAGCTACATAAGGGCTCTCTGCACTAGTCATCTCTAATTTAGCAGTGATAGACTATAAAGAAGGCAGCTAGTCAACACCACTCAATGCCAACTCATGGGCTACTCTTTTATCAACAAATAGTGGGACTCACTGTCATGTTATAATACCACCGTGGCTGGAAGGGCGAGCATGCTCAGTAAAGGGGATTCAAACCTACGACCTTCAGAGCATCTTAACCACTAGGCCATGCCAGGCCTACAAAATGGGAAAGCCAAATTTCTTCATCAATGTAAACTCTTTTTTTTCATCAATGTGATATAATCTAATTTAAACTTACCCTAAGATCATCAACAGTTTTGTTCACATTGTGTAGCCGACGATATGCAAAGTAGCTAGCTGATATGTCAGTCATTTCATCTCTTATTGGATCAATCAGACTTTGTAGATAATCAGTCTCATCAAGCAGGGCATGAACACATGGACCACATTCTACAAATACAAATCATACACTTTCTCAAATATCTAACTTTTATAAAATCTTTTAAATTCTATAAGAGTTTAAAGGCACAAGCATTGTAATATACATCAATCCTCACTGAAGCCTTATTTTAGAGATACAAAACATTTAGGCTTTAACACTATACCAGAAATGCATGCTACTGTCAAAAGCACAGTTCTCTCTATGATACTTGTTTTATAAATAGCATCTAAATTTCAACACTGCAACAGGAATGCATGCTACTGAAGACAACATGGTTCTCTCTATGATACTTGTTTTATAAGTAACATTTTGGTTTCAACACTGTAACAGGAATGCATGCTACTGAAGACAACATGGTTCTCTCTATGATACTTGTTTTATAAGTAACATTTTGGTTTCAACACTGTAACAGGAATGCATGCTACTGAAGACAGCATGGTTCTCTCTATGATACTTGTTTTATAAGTAAC